ATTTTATATCACATATAAATTTTTTCACTTTCTTATAAAAGTTGAATATTTTGTTCAACCAAACACCATCTCATGTTGTAAAGGATAACTAATATTTTGGCAGGCATGTAAACTTGTATTGACATTTAAACAAGAGTTACTGTTAAACGCTTTATCTGATTTTACAAAAAAAAAACGAGTTTGTCATTTAAATATGTTAAATATGTTATGTTATAACTTGATCATGTTGTTTATTTCTTTAATACATTTATTTATGTGTAGAAATAGCCAATACCAGGAATCAAAACTCAAAACCCATAATTTAAGTTGTAACAAAGATTTCAAGGTGTGACACCCGCCTATTCCTTTTAAATGACACTAAACGCGCGGGAATGATCGTGACGTCATACCGCTGTTTTTCGATAGATATAGTGTTCGATAGTGTTCTTCTCAGGTTATAGGCCAAGAATTATATTATTTAAGTTTATCTACGCCAGTTTGTATTTGTGCTTAGTGCGCTTTGCATGATAAAAATGGAAGCAACACGAAAACGATTTTACAAATCGTGTTTGAGTACAACCATTAAAACGCCAGATAAACTTTTTATTCGTCTACCAGAAAATAAAAGCCGTCGTTTTTTGTTAACATTATGTTCAGGTGTCACTTTAGCCTTATGCGTGCAGTCTCCATAGCAAAGGCTTCCTGATCTATATAAAATAATGAACACTAAGTTATAATCAATCCAATGCCAATTTTAAATGAAAGCAGTATTTAGATTTCGACTAGTTTAAAAAAACCCGATTTGCTTTTTTTGTTGAATAATTTACGTTTTATTTGACATACCATTTGAATTTTAAAAACTAGAACTAGAACTAAACGCGAACCTCAGCATATGAAAAACTTTTGTTTTGTAAGTAAGATGTCACCACAAACATATCAACTAAAGGTAAATTATTATATTTACCTTTTAAAAAATCGGCTTCGGTCATTTTCAAAACTTTACTAAACGTAAGATAACAAACGCAAGATTTAAATTTTACAATTATTAATTGCTTATGTTTGTTATATAAAACTATGAAATAATTTTTTTGTGTTCTTTTAATAGTATAAACTTACTTTTATAAGCAACATTTTTTCAAATTAAAATTTCGTTCAAATTCCCTTTAATTTTAGAAGTAAAACTATATTTGGGTTTCATAGAAGCAACCCTTACTTGTTTATTCAATATTCTAAATTTCGCTAAGTTATTATGCTAAAGGGTAGATATTAAAGGGTAATATAACGTCGATTCAAAAAAACGTAATACCGGCGGCAAATTGGTACGAATTTAACTCTGTAACGAATAACTTCTCGATCGGCATAAGAAATATTCAAATACTGCCGCGGCGAGAAACCGAAGCACAAATATTTAACTTTGTGTTCCTTTCCCATTTGAAATTCTAATCAAAAACACAAGAAACTTTGACGACGCAGAAGTAAAAAAAAAAACATTTAAATGCGTTTATCTTTGGCGACATTTAAAACAAAGTTTGATTTTCGAGTATTTCGTCGTCCCCCTTCATGTAAAAGTTTTAACTTTTAAACCGCTGGAAAAATACTTTATCTGCAAAGCTTCCGGACAGAGTACGGAACCGCTGTTCGAAGTGGCGTTATTTATATAAGCAAATTCTGAGGATATTCTATTTAGCATAGAACTATATCCTCTTAGAACTCCCCCGAAGCTGACAATAATATTTCCTCTTTCTCGAAGCGTGGAAAATATATTGCCTGAAGTTAGGCGCTTTTATTGCAGAAATAAAAAAAACCTTATCATATTAGAGCCACCTCTGCTGAATTTTAGCTCGTTTAAGATTGGCTGCGTCACCTTTCCCTTGCTGCACCCGAGAACGCGGCGGATCAGCTCTACTTCCGATCCGATTCGTTCCCTAAGAACAATTTTTTTGTGACCAGGTTGGCTGAAGTGTTGTCCCCGGTTTTTATTATGTTCCTTCGCGTATTAATGAGAAAATGTACTCACTACCTTGCTTCCTTATTTGTCCCTTCACGGACACTCGAAAAAGAAGTATGGGTGGTTGGTGCGATGGGGAATAGTGGGTTGAGCGATTGGATGAGTGTACTGTGTCGCCCAAGAAGCCAGTTAGCCAGTCTGAGGGTTAGCAGTTTTACAACAAAAATAAAAAAAATGGATCTTTCCCCCGATTAGGGATACATCAACGGTACTGTACTGGTTCAATGGTTCCATTTTGTTAAGATTTTAAAAATATTTGAAAATTTGCAGATAAAACGAAGATATATATTATTATGTAGAAACTTATTCAAATTGACGCACGACTTAAAAAGAAAACTAATAAATTTGTTTAAAAAAAATAAAATGATAATTTAGCTATAACCTGTGTGATATAAGAGATGAAAACAATCCCTGATTAAAACTAAACACAGCTGTATTTTAAACTCTACAACTAATAATCAAATTGTTATATTATCGTTATCGCACAATGTGGCCCAAAGCGGTTTTAAATATGCAACTTCGAAATTGAGTGTTTTAGTGACCTTTTTTGTATTAGAACGTATATATCCACAAAACGGCATATTTAATCGAGTAAATGTTTGCTTGCAAATTATTTCCCTATCATAACTGTCAAAAAAAAAAACAGAACTAACCATTTAATTATGGCATTAAATAACGACATTTTAGGCTCCAACTAGCGCCCTCTACATATTATTCGAAAAATAGAATGTAATTGTATTTCTCACTACCGAAAATTCTCGAATTCAAGTTTTCATGGCGACATCTTAAAACCATATTGAGCTATAAAGAAAAACAATTTGTATCGCTCTAATATGCGTCACTTTACTACGGCATATTTGGTTCAATATCATTATTTTCACGACTCGAATCAGGAATTGTTTTTTGATGCAATCATTACGCACCAAAAAATCCAAAGCTGTAGTCTTACAAATGAGTGAAAAATTCTTAGAAAAGCAATAGGCAAGTCTTAGCAGCTACTACTTGACTGCGGGATAATCTACTAAACAGATTGAAAAATTATTATATCCGGAAATATTACTTCACTTACACAAATATGGCCCTGATAAACTTTAGGCTCTAATTTTAAATTAATATCTATTTACCATATTTTCTGTATGGCCCAAAAATTATTAAGAAGGTTTGACAATTTTTTTTGAGGGAATTGGAGGTGTGTTGTGCAATCCATGTTTACCCACTAAAACATCATCAATCTACAACATCGACTGCTAGAGCCTTTAGCCACCAATCTCTATGGCATATACACACATAATTTCCTCATCTAGTCATACATTTTTCTGTATATTATTTTACGTTGATATCTTTTAAATATGCCAATGTGTGTTTAATCTGATCCTTCTTCAAGTTGTCTTCAAAATCGATTTTATTTTATGTTATTGATTTCCCCGTGTGTGGGGCGGGGAGCTCTCGAAGCCTGGGCGAGAGACCGGGCCGCGGGGGGCTGGAGAGTTGCTCCGGGAATGAGGCAGGCGAGGCTTATGATGGATGGGCCCGCCCTTCCTCGGACCAGGGAGCTGCTTAGACTGACCAGGAGGGAGTGTAGAGCACTAACAGGGGCCTACACAGGACATTGCAGGCTTAGGAGGCATCTCTGCTTGCTAGGCATTGGAGACGACCCGGAGTGTAGGTGGTGCATGGAAGGGGAGGAGACCCCGTATCATCTGCTCACCGAGTGCCCTGCCTTGACATGGGCAAAATTGGGAGTCTTCGGAACGGCCCTGATCGATCCGGACTCAGTGCACGGTATTGGGCTAAAGGATTTGCTGACCTTCTACAGCAGGGGCGGCATTCTGGACGCTCTCTAGAGCGGCCTGGGGGCACAACGGGCCCATCTGGTGGCCTAAGTGCTTGGACGCCCGCGAGGGCGCCCCCCTTTAATACCAATACCAATACCAATACCAATGTTATTGATTTGCAAACCATACATTGGATACTCACTGATTACGTGAACGACGGTAAAATTTACATCACACTTAGGAGCAGGTTCACCGTTAAGGAAATGGATAAAGGTTGTGTCCTGTTGACACTATAAAAGCTCGCATTGCTTCCAGTCTGGGAAGTTCAGTGGGTTCATATTTTGCTGTTACTTCTGGTAATGCTTTGATAGTTCTAACGGATTTTTTCGTTAACCATTTGTCTGAACTATTTTGTTCTTGGTAATAAGTTGTTTACAATTGCGATCTTATCGTCATCTATCAGTTTTCTTGGTAGATTAGCCTAGGTTTGATACTGGAGTAGGCATTTACATCGAAGAATGTGAATTCGGTTTTTTTGGATATGATTTTGCAGTCGTTATATATGTTGTCATCGCTACTTTGCTTCGTACGTTTAGTGGTATCAATCCGGATTCACAGTACGATATAGCCATTGTCCATTTTTGACAGAATGTAGGATTTGTAGATTTGAAGTAAACTTTTCGAATCTGCTCCCTATTTTGTGCGTGATAAAAGTTTCAGGATATTTAGTGACTGTTTACATTTTTTGGTGAGTTTGTTAATTTCATTTTGCCAGATAAAAATTTTATTATATCTACACACTGGATGATATTCCCTTCTAAATAGAGCACTACACACATTTAATTTTTTCTTTTGAAAATATAAAACCGAACTTTTCTCTATTTCGGATTACAACCTTCTTACCACTGCAGAAGACTTGCTATATCATTTACATAGAAACACTTTTTTATTTCTGGACCTATACTTCTATATATATCATTTATTCCAATTGAAAATAACGTACACCTGATCTGTACTCTGACCTTGAAACTTTTGTTTGAGAGAATGGACTTAATTGCAGCGAGAATTTGATTTGTTGTTCGTATCAGGATTTTAAGAGTTTAAAGAAGACAATGTATTAACATCAATGTTTTGCATAATTTGAAACTTTGTGATTTTTTTGAACGGTTCAAATTAGCTCTACCAACTTTAAGATAAATTCGACAAAAGTGGGGTGCTACAAAAAAACAACTCACCCTTAAGATTTTATTTTTATTACCGGCATGAGTATAAAACAAAACAATATTTTTGATTCTATCCGCCCTACTTTTTAATGTCATTTCTTATTACCATTACGAAGAAGTATGGGTGGTTGGTGCGATGGAGAATAGTGGGTTGAGCGATTGGGTGAGTCTACTGTGTTGCCCAAGGAGCCAGTTAGCTAGTCTGAGAGTTAGCAGTTTTACAACAAAAATAAAAAAAATGGATGTTGGGCCCCGACTAGAGGGCAGATAAAACGAAGATATATATTACGTAGAAACTTAGTCAAATTGACGCACAACTTAAAAGGAAAACTAATAAATTTGTTTAAAAGAAATAAAATGACAATTTAGCTATAACCTGTGTGATATAAGAGATGAAAACAATCCCTGATTAAAACTAAGCACAGCTGTATTTTAAAGTTTACAACTAATAATCAAATTGTTATATTATAGTTATCGCACAATGTGGCCCAAAGCGGTTTTAAATATGCAACTCGTACAACGAACGGTTCGAAAGGTGAGACGGTTAGTATCTACGCATAATTTTACATTTTAACTTTAAAAACTAAAAACACCATGAAGCCGATGCACACAAATAACAAATGACGAAACAGGGTCAAAACTAAGTAAACACGGTTTCTCTCTCGCGGAACAATTGCAAACTGCACTTTTGGGCGCTTAATAAGGCGAAGCCATTTTGACGCTATAAAACGAATCCGGTCTGGTTAGGGGAATCTTAATGGCTGGTGCTGAAATTAGAGAGAAGCCGTCTCTAATTTCTGCTATGAAAATGTTATTAGCATAATTAAGAAGTTTCTTTGCAGGACGAAACATACAGATTCCATTAAAATGCGGAGTTCATGGAGATGCTGTACCGCTTTCTTCGACGGCTGAATGGCGTAGATGGAATCAAAACAATAAGCTGGTAGCAATGTTTGTCGAAATGGAAAATCGTTGAAAATGATTTAAAAAGCTCCGTATCGTTCATTGACCCATTTCCATGTTCAACCGTTGAAAACTTTCAGTTACAATACTGCCAATCACTTCTCTCAATTTTAATTTACACTCGCCGCAAGGCATTTGCGAGTGATATCTGCGACGGATATCGTATCGACAGTTTTGGAAATCCATTACCCTCTAACTAGCAAAGCGTTCAAACCAGATGGATATGAAAATTTGTAAATTGTCTGGGGGTAAATTTGGTTTTATTTTGAATTGACTACGTGTGTCATATTTCCATGGTATCGTGTGAAGGAGTCTGCTTTATTTTTTTACGAAATATATTGGAAAACCTTAAGCTATTACTTTATCTATAAACGGTCTAAAGGCGGAGACTTTTCCAAATACGCTTGGATATCCAGCAGCACAGTTCCTTCCAAACGAGAAGACGCCGATCTGGACACCATTAACAACCAGAGGTCCTCCAGAGTCGCCCTATAACGAAAAACATGCGTATTTCGCTTCTACGGGGGCAACGAGATGGTCTAACTCACTTTCGTTTTCACTTTTAAGATAGTTTTTGATGGATGTAGAGAGTTATATGTTAAGCGTAGGCGTAGGTGTATTTCCGAAAATTTTTTCTAGTAGGTGATGTTAATTTTTTAGAAGAAATCTTGTTGGAAGAAAAATTTTACGCAGATTTTCCACGTGTTTATACACTCGGGAAATTCGGTACAAAAATTTCACACCAGTAAGTTTTTAACGAATCGGCTTAATTGCTGTAATAAAAGTATTCAATTTTGAATGTTTAAAAGGTTAAGTCCAGAAATAATTTGACCTCTAGTCAACATTTGTGACTTTTTGGAAAGGAAGTGGTGGAATAATGTATATTAACACCTAATAATACAAAAAAATCAAAAGCAACAATATGGAAATAATTTGTCTAATTTTTAAAAGAAAAAGAATGCACAATTGGGGTAAAACTATCTTTTGAAGACTTTTCGTATTTGGGACGACTGGAGATTCAATAATAAGAAGAAAAATTATACGACTGCAAAGAATCTGTTGAGAATGAAGTATATTAATATTGATTTTTTACAAGAAAATGTATGTTATTGATTTCTTGGTGGTAGCAATATTAGGACATAGCTTGTTTTTGTATTAAGTTATGTGGAATTCAATAGTCAATCAGCTCCAAGAGATGTGCTTGGCCAAATTTGAGCATAAGTTCAATCTATTTTTCGATACTGAATTTGCAGCAGCGCAGGATGCGAATCGCCGACGTTTACAAAGAGATCCAGGAAAGCAAAGCAAATGCAGTTACAAAATGAATACACAAAAAATGTAAAGGGAAATTTACTGAAAGAATTTAATTCAATAGTATTTAAAAAAAAAACTCAGGTCGATTAAAAAAAAATTAGCTGAGATTAATATAAAAGCATAACAACATTGATGAACATCCGATTAGATTATTTGAAAAAACGTGGAAATCTAACAGATGGTAGAAAAATAGGGGGAAACAACCAACCGATTTATTTACGATTCACTTACAAGGTTTGTTTTCCATTTATTACATGTTATCAAATCGTTCGAACAAAATCCACAACATATAAATTTGAGTGTACTGCCATTCTTTTCTCGCAAGGTCAATAATAACCTCAGAAATTCAGCACTACCAACGCCTGCCAATAAATAATCATTACAGTAATTTATACATTAAATGTTTCTAATTTGTGTTGGTAAATAAAGTTCAGTCATTTGTTTTTATTCGTATATAGCTATGTTTTTACATCCTTTTTTTTCTCTGTACTTTAGTAAGCTTTAAAAATACACCGAGGGGCTTATATTTCTAACAAACCATATTACAAACACAAAGTTAAAGAAAAAATTTAAAATGCAATAAAATATTTTTATGGGCAAATTTTTAATTTTTCGATTATCTGGCAAACTGTGGTTAAATCAGTTAAAACAAGTAGACGATATTCAATCCATATCGTAAGATTTTAGAGCACTAGAAGACAGTGAAAAAATTTTGGTAAACTTTTTAAGTCAGTCGTTTATTAAATACTCGCTCCGCTCGTGCCAAATAAACTCCTGACTCAAATGGCGTTTACCGTACTTGTTGCATAATATACTATATATTTCATGGGGCAAAGACATTTACTGACAAGGCCCAAGGGCTTCGTTCTTACGCTATTGAGGAAAAATGAGTGGAAAGGTAATTTCAAAAATGTTTGGAAATTATAACACATGTCGATAAATAATATATACCGATGAACTAGGTTCAATATCGGTTTTGAGTTAGAAATAAATATCTATCAGAATTATACTGATCAGTGGGACAAAAAACTCAAGCGGAAAGTTATGCTTTCTGCATGCTTCATCTATGTGTAATTAGATATTTTACAGAAGGCAGTAGAAAAAGAACTTTGAGTTGACCTCACAAAACAAGGAATGGGAAGACATCTTATTATTCTTTGCATAATTGAAAATTCATTTTATGCGACATATATTAAAATATTTTTTCATAACAATAATAAAGGAGCGATGCATTAGTTTGTCATCCTGTATATGGAATCATTCATTTTAACTGTCATTGTATTGTGGATAAGTTCAATATTACAAAGCTAATTTGAGATTCATTATGTTAACATTGTGATTTATCCCTTTCTTTTTACCCCCCTTAGATTTAAGCGGTGGTGAATACTCACGAAACACCCATCTTTGGTACCAACAGGATCTAATACACAAACTATTCTGTTGTAATCTTTCACAGAAGTTCCGTAGTGTTCTTGGCATTTGTCATTGCTTATAATAGGAATAGCCACAACCTAAAAATATTACATGGACATCACCAATATTTTCTCACATGGGAAAATTACCTGAAGGACAGGTGAAGCCTTCATTTCGGATGCATTTGTTGTTCCCCAACCAGTTAAAACTCCAAGATCACCTGGCTGAGAAGACGTGGTATTTGATGCCAGTGGAATAGATGAGGCACCGTCTGTATTAGTCTAATATAAAAAATAATTTCGAATGATTTTACATGCAAATAACATGCCTTATCATCAGCAGCAGAATAAGCAAAAGCTCAATTTTGTCTAATGGGAATTTTACATTAAATAAAAGATACCTGAAGTAAATTCCACTCTGTGATATGCTTTAAATATGAAATTGACAGTAATGTGGGTGTTGCTTCGACAATCTTACCAGAGGAGAATCTAACTCCAGCACAGCCAAATCATTTACGGTACCGTAAGGTTTATATTCATCATGGAAAGTGGTATTGACTACAGTTCTCTTTTGACCCCCTGTTGCCCAGGTTGATGTGCCAGCAATCACTGATACTTCTATGTTTGGACTAAGACTGTGACAAACGTTTGCCTGTTGAAAATACTAATTGAACTGATCATATTTTCCACTTACTCAACGAAGCAGTGAGCAGCTGTCAAGATGTACCTGGGATTGATTATAGATCCGCCACATTCGTGTGATCCATTGAATTGTATGGATACTTGATACGGAAAATCAGTGATGTTTGCCGGAGTACCATCGATGATTCTATGTGATGGGCCAGGTTCTGTAAAAACATCTAAGTTTCAAGCGATTCCAGTTTTCAGCTTTAAAGTAAACTTACCGATGCACACAAAAATTGAATATGAAACGAAAATCAATTTTCCAAAATGTCTCATTTCAGTAAGTTTTGAAACCGCCGTCCTTCGTCCACTATCTAGTACCTAAGCCGATAACCTTGCATTGTTGTTTGTGGGACAATTATCGCAATAAATAATTTACGGTTTAAGATAAGATTGGCAATTTTTTGTATTAGTTATTTTACACCTATTTGGTATCAACCGATCAGACGGACAATTACAGTAGGTAACTACTTAAAACATTAAATTTTGATTACGAACCCTTTCCGTATGGGGCAGAAGCGATGGGACGTCGCTGATTTTAACTAGCGGTCTAACTGAGTTGGGACTATTTATGGTGCACATAGCCTTTACCGAGACACCCGTTGAAATGAGGGCGGTCCCAGAATTAATTTGGGGTATATGACAACAAATTACTTCCCTTTTGTCGGAAGGCATTTCCATTACACCGAAATTTTTGAAAAGTTTTGGCACTTTTGATTCAATTGTTCGGCCAAATCTTTGATGGAAATTCATCTAATAGCCTATGCGGGCGTTCGTTGTTTCCGATGACACTGCGGACTAGTTTACCATACGTGGATAAACCTCTAAAATCTCCAAATACTTAGTCAATACATCCACGTTTTTTAAAGAAGAGGAAGTTTTCATTCATCTCTCACCTAGCTGCCCCCGTTAAATGCTAGAATTATCCAAACTTACAACGAAGGCTATATTATACTTCCCATTGCACTAATACCTTTTCACCACCTCATAGATGCCTTCGCAGAAAATTAATTAAGAATAATTTTTCAAAGAAACTTCCACAGGCTACTCCAATAATATTTACAAAACTTCTGAATTCCTCCTGGGTATTCCTGCGTATTCTTATACCATTTGCTGATGTCATCATTATGACGTCGTCGTTATCTTTTCTGAAATTATGTAGTTGTGAAAGCCTAAAATTAGTCTGTTCTCAAGGATATACGGGTTAAAGTTAAAACGAATATTGTACAAACAGAACTCAGAATCGAAGTTATTTGCTATCTTATACACAAAGAAAATATCAAAACACTGCATTCAGGACTTCAATGAGTCACATTTATCAACATTTAATTCAGAGCGCAGTACTCAGAACATCGGATTAAGTCCGCATGCAAAACAGCTATATCTAAAGGCGAATTAACGACAGTAGAAATGTTCAGGTCATTAGCGAACAATGAATACGCACTGTGAGAGATCATATAAAAATAAAACAAAGAGTAAGGGACCCAAGCGTGGACTCTGCGGGACCCCCTAAGTCATATTTTTATCTTATTCCAATAGCATCATCTCTTGCAAATATTTTTTCTGTCCTCAGCAGACCGAAATTTCCATGTTCAACAATTGTAAATGTGTAAAATGATGAAACTGGTCAAAGCCTTTGTAAAAGTTAGCACCGCAAATATCACGACCATTGTCACGGGCTCTCTGAAAGAAAGAGGCAAGATTAGTCAGAATAGGCCGACCCAAAATGACAGAGAGAAATTTTTGGCTTTGGTTTCTGTTGCCTGTTTACTCAGGTACTACCAATTTTAGAAAAAAATTGTTTCAACAAAAGTTTTATGGTTTAAATTAAATTTTAAAATTATTTATTTTTTACATATACAGGGTGTCCGATAAGTGCTGGACCGACATTATTTTTACAATTTTGAATGGAATTCCCTATATATTTTGATATTTTTAGAATTATTGTCAAAAATAAAGGTAACTTTTAGGGAAACTACTTATTCGAGTTCAATTTCAATTCAATTCAATTCAAATTTTAAGCACATTTTTACTAGACTTCCTTCTAACGATCTGCGATAACTACGTATTTTGAAATTATACAGGGTGTCCTAAATAAAAGTACAGTTTTTTAAAATTTCAATTTGCAGTATACATTTTTTCTAAATGAGACTCCCATGTTTTTGATATTTTTTTTTTTATACAATAGTTTGATATATATATATATATATATATATATATATATATATATATATATATATATATATATATATATATATATATATATATATATATATATATATATATATATATATATATATATATATATATATATATATATATATATATATATATATATATATGTCCTATACCTAATTCTAATGGTGGTCGAGATTTTTAAGAACAAACTCGCTGGCGAAAAATACACACACCTAATTATTTTAAAGAAATTTATAATGGCATGACTTTATCATATTTTATATTTTTATATTTTATGAACCACAAAAGTGTGTTAGAGACAATGAAGTCCATATATATATATATATATATATATATATATATATATATATATATATATATATATATATATATATATATATATATATATATATATATATATATACTGCAAGTTGATATTTAAAAAAAATGTACTTTAATTTAAGTCACCCTGATTAATTTTTAAAATACCTGGTCATCTCAGATCGTTAGAAGAAAGTTTTTTAAAGATATGTTTAAAATTTGATGAAGTAGTCATTACTGCCAGCCGTGGACGACCATATTTACTAAGAACATAATTTTGCAGCAAAAATGTATAATCTCAATTTCTGTTTAAACTGCACAATTTGAATAAGTAGTTTTTATAAAAGTTACCTCTATTTTTTGCAAGGATTCTAAAAATATCCAAACGTAAGTTTCCACCTAAAATATTAAAACTAATATCGGTCCAGCACTTTATATATATATATATATATATATATATATATATATATATATATATATATATATATATATATATATATATATATATATATATTATATATTAAAAATAAATAATTTTAAAATTTAATTTAAAGCATAAAACTTTTGTATATACTTTCTTTTTCTAAAATCAGTAGTTCCCGAGAAAAGGTACAGGATCCTAATAAAGTACAATGGTATGTACAAAACTCAAAAATATAGAAAGGGTTATGACAATCTAGAGTATTTTCAGTAGTCAAATACTGGAATACACAAGAAAATAATCCAGAATTAGATTTCCAATTTCTTTATCACACCAAGATTCATTTTTTTAGGTAGAGGTTAACAATTTTCTCTGTTATTTTAAAAAGGCCAAAAATTTTGCTATCATTCTTTAAATTATTTTCGGTAATTTTATGAAATTATTTTTTACCTTTCTTTGAAGATTCGAGTCGCAAGTATTATGAAAGATTGTCAAACTTCTGTGAGCTTCATCCTTTTCTTTCATATAGTGCAAATTCATGCATTATTCATGATGCCCGCTGGAATGTTTTAAAAACATCCACATCGTTATCGAAATGAATCTTTCCAATTGAGCCGGCCACTACTGAGGATCGAATTTTCTGGGAGCTGCATATCTAACACAGTTAAAGCTACACAGATAGTGCTTTCACCAAAATATCAGCAATAGTCGAAGCGATAACCAAGAGAATAAAAAAAAAGTTATATTTTTTGTCATCCGACATCAAAACAATTACCTTCTTTGAAATGCTTAGTTATGTTTAGATAGGTTAGTTAAGAGAGGCAATAATTTATATAAATCCTTGGAACAAAAACTAATCATTTACTTTATTATGTAGGAATTAAATTCTCAAACTTTATTTAGTACATCGCACCAAATTATAAGCTAAAATTTATTAATGACAATTGTTAGCACACTGTGAAACTCGATGTACAACGACGATACCAGAAAAAGTACTTACCGGTAGATGTTGGTGTTCTGGTTTTGAAAACTGAAGAAGTTAACTACGAACTTCACTTCTTGAACTGTATAAATTTGATGTGATTCGTTAGGCAATAGAGAGTCCGAAAATTTCGCAGATAGCAAGTCGTACCCAAAAATTTCGCGCAATAGCGGTATGGTACCCTGCATGTAGGATCACAGTTGTGTGTTCAAATATAGATATCAATAATTTCATTTACTTGTTGCATTACAACATGGCACATACATATTCGAGTATAGCATGAATGTGAAACAGCTTGAATCAGAAATTTTAAATTGCTCAATGTTTATGTCCATTGCATTGCATATACAAAGATTAAAAAGTTTGGATTACTGTTTCATCAATGACAAAACCTACAAGCGCGTTTAAGTGTTTGAAGGGAAAAGTCCAGCTATCGCGATATCCTCGCCATTATTAAAACTAACCGCGGTCCAGCGAATATCTACGAAAGTCATCTAGGAGTATCCCTATTCGTGGTCACTTACTCGGCCTAATGGAAGGGTTAATCTAGGTCCTTCGCTGTCTTAATTTACCACTCCAGAATACCCTTTGTGACCTGCAGGGGACCAATGTGCGCATTAAGGCGATATTTATGAATTTACCTAAATTAGGTTTCGCCTCCCGTCCTCTCATACCATGGGCGTAGCCTCCTCTAAAATTAGTTTTTGTTCCCGCGCGTTTTGCATAGTTTTACGTCGATATTGGCACTAAGCAACCTCTTCTCGATCCCTAATTTGGTTGCGGGACCGTACGCTTGTCTACGTTTTAATAAACTGCATAAAATTCAAAATGCCGCCGGGTCTGCTTACGTGTTCGCATTCAGAGAAAACTATTTTTTAAGATCGATTTTACCGGTTTTCCGGAATCTTTTATATTAATTTTTTAGAAATATAAATACATCTTGCTTACAATCTCTAAAATAATGCTGAAGCCAATTGTGGACGTCTACCATCAATTTTTTAATTTAATTGTATATTGTGCAGAAAATTGTGTGATTTAGCGACAAGGTACAAAAACTTAAAAATTTTAGAAATCTACTTAACTTATAATAGCGAATGAAATTCAACTTCAACTGAACTGCTTGCATTCGTCATGTCTTACATGACTAATTGGGGCAGGTACATTATGCCGATTAAAGGCGCTCAATTGTCCATTGAATTGTTTTGGGATGAGCGAGGGAGTGACTCAATAAGTTTCTTAACATATGGAAAAATTAAGGTATTGTATGTTTATATTAAACGTATTTTCTGCGAGCATTCGTTTCGTTCAGAACTGATAAAAACATCAAAATACCATCCGCGGTGTTGCGAGTTTTCCCGTGTCACTTGTAAAAAAAGGAATGGCTGCCCTCAGCTGTTTACCAGCTCGATTAATTAAAGAGAAAAAAACAATTCAATT